TCGCTATTCTTGTTATTACTTTTCGAATTCGTGGCTCCTTGGATTGTTTTGATATGGTTTGAGGTAGTAGTGATGTGAAAATTATGACGGAGGTAATGTATGACTTAGACCTAATAGAACCTTTCAGTTTGCTACACCCTGGCAAACCAGGGTATACATGGTTCTCTAATATTCGTAAGGGAAAAGAGAGTACATGCAAAAAACTATTTTTTTTCTCCTGTCAACTGCTGCATGGCATGCCACTGTCGACCTAAATGTAGATACTCAAAACCTCTCTGATCACAAAGCATTTATCGCCACCTTTACCTCCTGTAAGTTGGAAAGAGGTCATGACTATTTCAGAGTCAACACTCAGATAATACAAGAATCTGACATCAGGGATTAGATGAGTCGTTTCTGGGAAGGGTGGGAACACAATTCGGACCCTTTCACCACCAAAGATGCTTGGTGGGATATTGTGTCCTGATTTTTTTCTAAACATCTAAGTATTTTCTCACGAATATTATCCGCATGGAGGAAAAAGCATGATATTACTACCGATTTTTTGGAAGAATCAGATCACTAGTCTCAGTTTTCAGCTAGGCTGTCAACTCAAGGGAAACTAGATTTAGACCGACCTGTTACAATTGAGGAGGCTTGAGAAGCATTAAGTTCGATGGCTAAAGGGAAAGCCCCAGGTGATGATGGCTTACCAGTGAAGGTCTATCCGATGATTTGGGATTCTGTTAGGAAAATTTTAGTTGATATTTATAACCAGGTATTACTGAGAGGCAACCTATCGACAGGAATGAGGAATGGTATCATCTCGCTCCTATACAGGAAGGGGGACCGATCTGAGATTATAAATTGACGTTCGATTTCAGTTCTCGGTGTGTTATATAAATTATTGACAAAAATTTTAGCCAGATGCCTTGGACGATATTTACCTGCCTTGATTGCCAATGACCAAGCAACCTTTGTGCAGGGCCGTTCAATATTTGATAATATTGTAACGACCATTAAAGCACTTGAATTGGTTGAAAAAAACAACGCAAATGTTTCAGTCCTTATGTTGGATCTGAAAAAAACCTATAACCACGTTAATTGGACTTCTGTCCTGACAACTTTGAGACATATAGGATTTTGGGAAAACATCTGTAATTAGGTTGTGGCATTATACTCTCAATCTACAGCGTATGTTATGGTCAATGGTAATATTTCAGGGCCTTTCTCACTCACTAGATCACTACGTAAGGGTTGTTTCCTGACCCTTCTATTATTTGTGATACCGATGGAAAACATGTTATGTAACATTCGGGCTCACCCTCAGATCAAGGGGCTCAGTACGGGTCAAACCCAATGTAAGGTGAAGGTCCTTGCGGATAATGTTTTTGCCATCTCGTAAAATTCGGTCTCCTCAATGAATGTCTTGGAGGGCTGCTTAGACGAATATTTGTCTTTATCTGAAACATCTGTTAACTGGGCTAAACTTATTTTGTTCCTCAATAGCTCCTTTTCTCCCTCGATGGGCTGGGGTATGAAACTCATAAAGGCCAGTAACTCTGGGCGTTTCCTTGGGGTGCAGGTTTTCCTACTTTCATGTAAAGTAGATCAGGAGGGTATTCTGCTACAGTGAACACTACAGAGGGCGTCCACGTGGGGAAAAGTCCCTCAGCTGTCTATCTACGATAGGGTAATGGTGGTCAATGGTGTTTTTTTTGCCTTGCTTTGGTTTGTGGCTGTCGTTAGACCCTTAGGAAAACATCTGTGTGGTTTGATCCGCATAAGAGCCGCCAAATTTATTTGGAAACCCTTTGCAAGGGATAATGAGGGTTTCGTGTCAAAAGTTGTCTGCGATATGCTCTGTTTCTCAAAGGCGGAAGAGAGCTTAAGGCTAATAGACCCCCAGTGGAAAGTACAACCATGCTTGTCCGCTGGATCATGAAGGCCACTTGCTCCTCTGAGGAGGCACAATGGATCCTAATGGCTGGATCGATCCTCGCTTTAGAATGGAATCTTCAGAGGCCTTATGATATCTGGACCTGCTTTTTATTGACCTCATACCAGAACCGTGTGATCAAATCGGAATTTAGAAAAGCTATACTATTTGTTTGGCGACCGTTGAAGTCAAACTCTTAGCTTCTACTATTGACCAAGGACGAGGTTCTCTTACAATCCTTATTTGAGAATCCACATATTCGTAAATCAGATGGTAGCTGGTTTGCTCCAGATACTGCTCGCAGTAACCTTGGGAGAAAATGGATTGAAAAAGGTGTTCTCCGTATTGTGGATATCTGGAACACCTTGGAAAATCAATGGGTCTCTCCCTCGGCTATTAGGGTAAAGTTGGGTAAAGTCTGGTACGTAGAAGAACGTCTGGCTAAACTCGTTAATGCTATCCCGGAACAATGGAAACTCATCCTCAGCCAAGAAGGCGTTGATCCTCCTGGTGCGTGGTACATTGCTCAGACTCAAAAAGACACTTCTGCTTTTTAGAAACTGGTGGAAATCAATCTCTCGGGTAAAAGGGAATTTCAGTGTTGGGAGGGAACAAACTCCAAGGAACCAATCTTTCTTGTGTAGATAGAGAGTTTTCACACCCCCCCTTCGCTGCTAGGCTTGCCCGGATAAGGGTGTGGGAGACATGTGATGATGATGGTAATTGGACTTGTAAAGTTCACGCACTTGGAAACCCTATTTCAGAGCTAAGACTGGATCCTAATCTGAGGGGTTGGAAGGGGAAAGGTCAAGAACGGGAGGATCGGGCGTTGGCATTCTATACGGTAGCACAGGGGTATGAAACTCAGTTGGTTGGATGCACCCCACTGGAGGTAGCCACAACAAGATGGAGCCAAGTATTACCCTGTGGCAAGGATAGGGTAGAAATTGCGCTAACTCGATGTCGGAAACAGTTAGCCAATGCTCCTAGTCCTTGCATAGCTGTGAATTTATGGCTGGTTTCTCTATTGGCCACTCCATCCGCAGTTAACTTAGCCCAGAGGGGGCTCAAAGTGGAACTGGCCTGCAAAAGATGTAATTGGGTCTTTGAGTCCACTGTGCATCTTTTGTACGATTGTCCTGCTTCTAAAATAATTTGGGATTGGTGGCAAGTTTTTGGGGGGTCGACTTCAAATAATCGATTGATTTGGGACCGGGATTGAGTTATTTTGGGGGGACTCTCGAACCACTTTGACATAGAGAGGGGACGAGGCTACATAGCTCAAGCGGCGCCCACGGTTGGATGTGAGGTGATTTGGAAGGAACAGAACCGACGAGTATTTGGCAACCGAGAAATGACGAACAAGGAAATCAGACAATTGTTTAAGTCCTCCCTACGTCGCCTCATTCGGGCAGATTGGTGAAGGAAAGGCAGAGGGAACTCCGTCGGTGGTTTGAGGAAACTTGGGGTTTGGGTGGTAAGTTAGTGACACAAACAGATGGAAGGCTAGTTTTCAATAAATGGTTCTCAGACAAAGACAATTGTGAGCCTAGGGCGTGTAAAGAGTAAATGCTTATGGTCGGGTAATTGAAGACTTGGAAGTTTGGGCAGTTAGTTGACTGGATTGGTTCCTTTAGGTTGTTTGATAAACCTGGGTGCTCGGTTTCTCTCTCCGCAGGAGGAGGGCAGGGGGATAGGTTGGTGGAGGGAGTGCTTGGTGGTTCATGAGGTCTCAATGGGGTCCTACTGTCGCTTTAGACGGTGTCATTTTTGAAGATAGGATATACTTAGAGGTGGATTCTAAGTTTGTGCCTAGTTATTGTGGGATTGTTTGGCTTTTAAGGCTTGTGCAAACTGTTTGCTAGGAATGGGGTTTCAGGACAGCAGTCTAGATTTGGCCTTTTTTGTGCCTAGATATTCCCCACTCCTATATTTCGTGTTGAATTGTGAGGTCCCTGACCTTTCTTTTTGAGATCCACCAGTACCTCTCCCAACTTGAAAAAGTTGACGCGGCCGCTTTAATGGTCGCGTTGGCCGGGGTACCCACCGATGTGTGACCGGTAGTCCCAAAAAAACAGGCAAAAAAAAAAAAAAAACCCGATAAAAATGTAAAGTAACAAACGAAAAAGAAAGGGTGCGGCAGGGGGGGACATTTTTTAGGGCAAATTTTAGGGCTTTTCGAGAGAGGGCAAATTTTAGGGCTTTTCGAGAGAGGGCAAATTTTAGGGCTTTTCGAGAGAGGGCAAATTTTAGGGCTTTTCGAGAGAGGGCAAATTTTAGGGCTTTTCGAGAGTCTGACAACTCTAGAAGGGCGCTTGGAGATTTTCGTGTGTCAAGCGTAGCGCACCGAGGCCCTATTCCAGAACTGAAAAACTGAGTTTCAGGAAGGTAAGCATGCTAGGGGAAATTGTCCATCCGGGAAAGTCGGTCCGTAGCTTCGACTTTTCGCAGGCGAACGCATCTATTACTATTCATAGTATCGGACGCGTCTGGCCACTAAATGCGGGAACATGCACTCGTCCTTTTTCCGTTTCGACATTGGTGTTGCGAGGCCCGAGATTTTGCTTGTCTTTCAACGACTCAGCGCGCCGCTCTGAGCAGTTGAATGCAGTCGTGTCCAAGCTATCGGGCCTCTCGCAGTGGGCTTTGCTTGTCTTTCAACGACTCAGCGCGCCGCTCTGAGCAGTTGAATGCAGCCGTGTCCAAGCTATCGGGCCTCTCGCTCCACTACTCGCGACATGCAGAAAAGACAAAAAAATAAGGCGGTGTATTTTTCCGTAAGATTCATTTCCCTTTTGCCCAATTCGTGACTACGGTACTCGACCGCGCCCATTCGTCACGGCTGTGCATATCGAAATTTTCTCGTTCAACTGCTCAGCGCGCCCAGCTGGTTTTCATTTTTCAACTTCTCAGCGCGCCCAGCTGGTTTTCATTTTCAACTCCTACTCAGCGCGCCCAGCTGGTTTTCATTTTCAACTCCTCAGCGCGCCCAGCTGGTTTACATTGTCAACTACTACTCAGCACGCCCAGCTGGTTGTCATTCAATTGAGCGCGGGCTCGATGACCCGGAAAGGAGGGGCGCGGCTAACAGACAGCGAACGTGGTAGCCATGGTCGTCACAGCCGCCATAGCTGAAGGTAAATCTTCGGCACCCCGCTAAATTATCTGCTACTCTCGGCCGTCTCAGGTTTTTCGCTGCCTGGTAGTGTGTCTCAGCATTTTACATTAAAAAAAAATCAACCATCACTAGGACTCTTCGGCACGGATGGATCTGACCGAGCGTAGGGGACGATCTGTTTGAAAATGTTATAGTGCCGCGGCAGTGCGGGTATTCCTTGATTTCCCTTTCTTCTCCGACGTGCATTGTTCCTTGTGCTCTGAATTCGGTCGCCGTTTCTCGTTGGTGTCGGCTTTTCTTGGCAGTGATGAGGCACGATGAGAAAGGTTGTATGAAGTGGGTGGAACGTGTGTGTGTGTGATTTCTTCTTTTATATTCGAGAGTCTCTGTCTCAGTGCTGATTGTCGGTCGTCTATTGCGGAAAATCCCAATTAGTCAGCTTAGTCCATGTAATATGATGTCAACTGCAGCCTCTCTCTCTCTCTCTCTCTCTCTCTCTCTCTCTCTCTCTCTCTCTCGTCCCTTACCTGAAGTCTGCGAGTCTTTCTCTCTCTCGCGCGCGCGACCATATGGTCGCTGCTTCCGTCTTCTGTGCACTTGTGGTCGAGTCTTGCGCTTTGAGAAATGAGCAGTCCGTAAATCATCTTCAATGTCGATCGTCATTGGGAGTTGCCGAAGTGCGTGCATCGGAGTTCGCCGAAGTGCTCATTTTTGCGCTGATCGCTCGGTATCCATCCTCTCTCATATGGTCGCTGCTCTCATCTTTCATGCATTTGGAGGTCGGTCCTGCGTGTTGAAAAATGAGCCATCCGGAGATCATTCTACATTTCCATGCTCACAGGGAGCTGCCAAACTGCTCGCGCGGAAGATCGTGGAACTGTTTGTTTGCTGGGCAAGCAGATAATCATAAACAAACAGAAAAGTGTGTGTGTGTGTGTGTGTGTGTGAGAGAGAGAGAGAGAGAGAGAGAGAGAGAGAGAGAGAGAGAGAGAGAGAGAGAGAGAGAGAGAGAGA